CACACATAGACACACAATCAAATTAGTCAAAAAAGTTTTGGTTCATAAAAGATTAATAGTTTTTTTTATTATTATTATAATCTTTCATTATTTATGTGTGGGTATGTGGTGCATATTGATGTGTATGTGGGCACATGCTTACCATGGCATGTGTTGGAGATCAGAGGAAAACTTTTGGAATCGGTTCTCTCCTATCATGTGGTTCAGGGATTGAACTCAGGTCATCAGCCTTTGTAGCAAGCACATTTACCCACTGAGACATGTTGTCAGCTTGAATTAAATTTTTTTTTTTGTCTTTTTGAGACAGGGTCTCTCTGTAGCCCCAGCTGGCCTAGAACTCACTATGTAGAGCACACTGGCCTTGAACTCACATAGAGACCTGTCTGCCTCTGCCTCCCAAGTGCTAGGATTAAAGGCACATGCCCGGTTTTAACACAGTTTTTAAACCAAAAGACTTGGGTTCTATTCTATGTCTCTTTTGTTTTTTTCTTTTTAAAATTGAATTTGTGTGTGTGTGTGTCATTTTGAGGCAGGGTCTTCCCGTAGCCCCAGCTCCCTGGAACTCGCTATATAGACCAGGCTGTCTTTGAACTCACAGAGATCTGCCAGCCTCTGCCACCCCCACCCCCGCCAGCACTTGGCATAGATTTGTTTTTATCAAAGGGAAAATCTCAAGTGACTGTGGTTCTGAATGCAGAACCTGAGAGAATGACATGGTAGGAACCTGACCAGAGGTTATCTGTGCTGTACCAATGAGAGAGAGGCTGTAGGCTCCGGACTCCGTTACTCTTTTCAGGCCCGATATTCTGTTTCATCTCAAAGATTTCCAGCCATAACCCTGGAGCAAGGACCTGTTCCACCCAGTGAATATCAAGCCAGGGAGTACATATTTGGGTAAAATAGAACATGCTCCTTTGTTAAACAGCCAAACAGTTTCTAAAGAATGATGCTTACGGGGCTGGAGAGATGGCTTAGCATTTAAGAGCACTGATTGCTCTTGCAGAGGACCCGGTTTGATTCCCAGCAACCACATGGTGGCTACAAACCGTCCTTAATTCCAGTTCCAGGGAAATCCGAAGGCCTCATCTGACCTCCGCGGCACTGCACAACAGGGGTGCACTCACATACATGCAGGCAATACACTCATACACATAAAATAATAAATAAAATATTTTTTAAAAATGATACATTTTCAATATAAATGTTATTTTAAACATGAGCCCTATCTGTACTCATATACTACTTTGGAAATCTTGGTATAACCCTATTGTATAAGTTTGTTTATTTGAGACAGGGTCTCACTATGTAACTGTAGCTAGTTTGGAACTTACTACGTAGACCAGGCTGGCCTGGAACTCACAGAGGTCTGCTAGCTTCTGCCTCCTGAGTTACTGGGATTAAAAGTGTGCACCACCACTTCTGTGTTCCCCAGTTTGAACACCATTTCTAATGTGTTCCACTTATACCACTAGCAGGTGTGACTTCAAAGAGCTTAGCAGGTAGTATCTCAATCCAGGTTTCCTGGGTGCTGATTCCAAAAGTCTAGGTATTCTGATGTGCAGAGCAGTTTTAGAGGACTCATGGAAACTACCAAGTTTGCCTTGCCCGGGTGAGGAAACTTTCCCTGGCCTAATGCCAGAGCCACATGACTCTTGTTCACATTGGTGAGAAAATTTAACCCGAGTTGTGTACAGCTTCCTACTTGTTTTGTACTTTCTAGGGCAAAGTCTACACTCTGCTAATCAGGCAACCACTGGGTATCCCTGCTTAGACACTTGGATTAACCATTATATAATTTTGTATCATTTATAATTTTATAGAATTTGTCTCCAAATATGCACCTCTTTGTCAATTGCTGATTGTTTTGTTTGTTGAGACAGGGTCTTGATATGTATCTCTGGCTAGCCTGGAATTTATAATCTTCTGGCCTCTGCCTCTAAATGCTGGGATGGCATTATCAAGCATGGACTCATTTTTGTTTGTTTTGTTGAAACAAGGTCTCCTTATAGGCCCAGCTGGCCTGAAACTCACTTTGCCTTAAAGGCATGTGCCTTAAAGGCTTATATGCAGCTTTTTTTTTTTTTCAACCATTTCTTAAAACCTCTTTCTAAAAAAAAATTTTATCAGTTTTATTTCATGTGTATGCGTGTATTGCCTGCATGTAAGTAAGTGCACCTGTGTTGTGCAATGCCCGTGCAGGTCAGAAGAGGCTGTGGGATCCCCTGGGACTGGACTTACAGACAGTTGTTAGCTGCCATGTGGGTGCTGGGATTCAAACCCCGGTCTTCTGCAAGAACAACCAGTGTTCTTAACGACTGAGCAATCTCTCCAGCCCCAAAACCTTCTCTTTTTTAAATGTAGGTTCTGTGGATTAAACTCAGGTCTTTATGCTGCGTGGTGTAATGGTTAGTGTTGTCAACTTGACAGAATCTAGACTCACCTGGGAGAGGGGCCTCTGGGCATGCTGCTGGGAGATTGTCTTGCTAATGGATCTGGGAAGATCCATCTTTTTTAAAAAAATTAATTAGCCAGACATGGTGGTACATACCTTTAATCCCAGCACTGGGAGGCAGAGGCAGGTGGATCCCTGTGAGTTCGAGGCCAGCCTGGTCTACAAAGTGAGTTCCAGGCCAGCTTGGGCTACAAGGAGACCCTGTCTCAAAAAAAAAAGTTAATTAATTTTATGTGTATGAGTGTTTGCCTGTATGTATTCAGTGCATCATGTGGTGCAATGCCTGCGAAGGCTAAAAGAGAGCATTGGATCTCCTGGACAGTTGTTAGCCACCACGTGGGTGCTGGAAACTACACCCAGGTCCTTTGCAAGAGCAACCAGTACTTTTAACTGCTGAGTTATATCTCCAGTCCTATAGAACTTATTTTTAGCTGGTATGCAGAAAGGTAGTAAGACCATATTCACAAGATTCCATCATTCTGAACTACTTAAGAAATCACTTCGGTTTAAGTTGAAATTTTTCCTAAAACCATAATCTTTCAAATTAAAGTTGATTCTGTAATTGGATAGTTTAGACTGCATAATTTAAAAGCATCTACGTCAGAAACATACGTGTATATATCTACTATCATATAAATGTACTGGTTTATTTCCAAAATTCATGAAAGGCAAAACTTTGTAACACTACCAACAACTCCCCACCCACTCAATGAAATTAGACAAATCCTCATTTGTTTTGAGTATTGGGCAAGACTGAAGTTGTTCCTCTAGTGAGCCATTCCTTTACAGAAAGTTGACTCTTGTGTATACTAAAGGGTTATAATTCATGGACTATCTCAGGCAGTTCATGAAAATGTAATCGTATGGTCAGAAAGGTTAGCAATTTAGGACCTGATAGCACAAGTAGTTAGACAATATTTTGTAATATAAATTATTGACCTGCATGCTTTTTCTGTACCCCAGTTCAACCCTTACTTGTAGGCTGTCTTTGCAGTTATTTGGGTTACTGGTTCAGCAGAAGTCAAGAAAATAATGTTGTAGGAATTAGAATGCTAACTGCATATTGCTTACTTTATTGTAAATTATGGTGAATGGCAGTTTTATATTTTTAAAAAACGGGTGGGATGAAGACTAAATCAGTGTCAGGAATACTGTGGTCATCTTGGTTCTTTTTGAAAGGAGGGGTTTGTCCTAGAATCATAGAACTTACAATATTGTTTTAAAGCAGAAAGGCTATTTTCAAACAAAACAATAACGGAAACAGGTAAAAACAGAGCTGCTCTGGTTGAGTTTAGGGTGGTGTCAGGGAGAAGGCAAAGTAGGTCCATCTATTTAGTTCTCTCTCAGAAGCTATGGAGCTAGAGCTTCTGAGAGAGTCTAAGAATACAGTTTGAAAACAATGAATTGAGAGAACGTTGGAAATTGTATTAATGGATGTAGCTAAGGAAGGAGTGGGTCTTGATGAAGGAAGATGTGGATTCTCTTCGGCTCTCTGCAACTTTAAGCAGAGGAAGTACCAGGAGTCAGCTCCCCCAGAGAGAAAGAACCCTGTGGTCTGGGCCACCTCGAATTTTCCTTCTCAGAGGCAGACCCAGGGAACTAGTAGTCACTAGCTGGAGAATGAGGAAGGCTAGTTGATTTAATGTGAACTGGTATTGATTCTCTCTAAAATTCATAACTAAGGTTCCAGCAGAGTGTGGTATTTCAGCAATCTGGAGGTAGAAGCAAAAGGGTCAGAAGTTCAAGGTTATCTTTGGCTATAATAGCAAGTTCCAGGCTAGCCTAGGCTACATGGCAATTCGGGGCTTAGAGTTGATCAGATTCTTATACACAAGGTGTATCATTATTTAGCACCTGCTCCAAACTAAAACAAATAAAAATACAGGTAATTACCAACATAAGCCTGAAAGAGCAAGGAAAGATGTCTAACAGTTGTTGCTGGGGGCGGGGGTGGGGTGGGGCGGGTATGGATTAGGTGAAAATATCACTTCCATGCTGCAAGTGAATAAAACTCAAAGGAGAATAAAACAAAAGAGCATATAAAGGGATGCAGGATGTTGAGTCCCTGAGGGAACTTACTGAATTGGAAGCGCCTGGTGGTTGGTCATTTCATTAATGTATATATGTTGGATTAACTACTTGAACCCAGGGCCTTCCACACGCTAAGCACACACTTTACCACTGGAATCACTTTCAGTCCTCGGATCACTTTAAATACTTCCTCTGGGGGCAGCTAGACTACCTTTTACACTGACTTTCCCAGTCCCTTTGACGAATCAGGACAATTCCCGGCATGCATCGCTCTGGTTCTAAAACTTTCCAACAACCGGATAAAGTAACGCCCGGAAAAATCGCGCACCTGTAGAAGTTTGGACTGGCCACTCGCCGTAGCGTGCTCATTGGTGCCCAGGTTACCGCCCCCCTCTCTCGCCTCACGTTTGTCTCCACGCACGCAAACACGGTGCGTGCCCACGCCCCCCCTCCCGGGCCTAGGACGCAGGCGCGCGCACACTCCCCGAGTCGGGTAGGCGGGCGATGGGGGAGGGGCAGGAGGGAGGGGAGGAGGGAAGGCGTCTACTCCAGTGAGTAGACAGCGGTGGGACACTCGGAGTGCCGGGCCTGGCTGACTGGCGGTGGAATGCTGTAGCGGCCGAGAGTCGGCCAGAGGAAGCGGAGCCCATCAGCTCGCCTCCCGAACCGGAGCGTCGGGCTGCTGAAGCCCCGCGGACCGTAGGGGGCCAAGCCCCGGCATAGGCCCCGCGGAGATGTCTAGCTGCGGCGTTTGTACTTGCGGCGCTGCGGCCGCCCGGCTTCTCACCACTTCGCTCGCCTCCGCGCAGAGAGGTAACGAAGTAGTCCCGCTGGAACCCCGCTGCGCTTTGGGGTAGTGGACGGGCTGACGGGTGGGGACCTCGGGAGGAGGGCACGAGGCCTGTCCCTTCTCCGGGGTGGTGGGAGGACTGCGAGGCGCTCTCCCCACCGTCCAGGCTCCGCCAGCCTCCCGAGCAGCCGCCGCCCGATTAAGGAGAAATCCGGATTGCCGTCGACTGGCCGCGCGCTCTCAGACCTCCTGAGTTTGGGGCTGGAATGGGGCCACCTTGCTTCGCCTGTTAGAAAGTGTCCGCAGACGCCCGCTCTGCGCCGACCAGGGCCGGGGGGGTGGGGAGCCAGCAGAGTCCCCCTCGGGTCTGTCACTTTGCGGGGACTTTGAGGTGCTCAGTTCGCCGATTGGCCGCCTGGACGCAGGCTGCGCAACACTCGAGGTGTCATTGTCATTGTGCTGCGGGTCACACCGGTAACACAAACAGCTTGCGGTACTTCCGCATGTCGGGCAAACTTGGGGTCCGAGGAGAGCGGGAGATCGGGGCTACCAGGGAACGACCTCTGAAATTCTTTTTCTAATACTTGGACATACCAACAGTCATTTGCCGGCTTTCCCAGCTGTCAAGCTGGGGAAGATCGTTTCCCAAGAGTGGCTCTTGTTTACTTTTCCTCTCTGTTGGTCAGGACCTGTGAAAGAGTGCCACCACAGCCAAGAGATTCCGGGAAAGAAACCCATTTTTCTCTTCCTCCAATCTATGACTATCAGACGATGAAGCTAGATGCTGTTATTATCTCTAACTTTGAGATGAATTCTTTTCTTTATGACCCTTGCATAAATGGGAATTGTTTTCCTATATTTTTTTTTCTGATTAACTCTAAAATCCTCATTGCTTACTAAATATATTTTGGCAGCTTATTTTCTACACAGATTAAATGGGATAATATGGGTAGAAACATTTTTGTGTTATGAAATGACATGTAAGTGTAAAGGAGTGAATTTAGTCTTAAAACATTGCCAAACCTCTATAGGTGGATGGCCCAATTCCAGAGACTTGTGAACTGAAAGCCCCTCCTCCCTTCTCTCTTTTGAGACAGGGTCTCCTTGTAGTCCCAGCTGGCCTGGAACTCAACCATGTAGACCATCAGGCTGCTTCTGGAGTGCTGGGATTAAAGTTGTGCACTACCACACCTGGTTTGAAAGAGGTTTTTAATTCATTTATTTGACATTTGTTGAAGGCCTACAGTGCTGGAGTTTGGTGCTTGAGATAGTGAATAAGTTTCTTACCACCTTTAAATTTGGTGGAGTAAGCAACAATAACATTACCAAGGGTAATGTACCTTGAGTATTGTTCTTTATCTGTTTTAGTCAAGAACCCCCTAAAATCAGATGTGGCCCAGGCCTGTAATGTGAGCATTCTAGAGGCTGAAGCAAAGTTTGAGGGCAGCCTGGGCTGCATAGTGAGTTCCAGGCCAATCTAGCTAGCTCTGTAGGGAATCCCTGTCTCAACAAAACAGTGCCTGAAAACTACAAATTCAAGAAGATAAGTAGTTTTTTAAAGTTCAGAAACACTGTTTAGGGGCTGAAGAGTTGGCTCAGCAGTTAAGAGCATTTGCTGCTCTTCCAGAGGACTAGAGTTCAATTTCCAGCACCCATAATCACTCAGCATCTGGATTAAGAGGCTTACAACTGTCTAACTCCAGCTCCAGGGGATCCGACTCCTATCCTCAGACATCTGTATATGTGTACATACAAACAGATACACATAAATTTCTTTGGTCTTTTTTGAGACAGGGTCTCCCTGTAGCCCCAGCTGGCCTGGAACTCACTATGTAGACCAGGCTGGCCTTGAACTCAGAGATCCACCTGCCTCTACCTCCCAAGTGCTGGGATTAAAGGTGTTGTGCCACCACACCCAGTTATTGATGTGTGTGTGTGTGTGTGTGTGTGTGTGTGTGTGTGTGTGTATGGTTTTTTCGGGGGGGGTTGTCTTTTTGAGACAGGGTCTCCCTGTAGCCCAGCTGGCCTGGAACTGACTATGTAGACTAGGCTGGCCTAGAACTCACAGAGAGCTGCCAACCTCTGCCTCCGAGTGCTGGGATTAAAGGCATGTGCCAACACACCTGGCTGATGTGTATATTTTTAAATGTACTTGCCACATGGATTACCAAGATGGCTCAGCATGTAAAGACACTTGCTGCCACATCTGACAACCTGAGCTCAATCCCCAGAATCCGCATGGTAGAAAGAACAGGCCTGTAGATGGTCATGAGCATGTGATCACATGGATGCACACACAAATTTTAAATGTACCTGACAAATGAGATCACTTTGCATTCTAAATTATGTGTATTTGGAAATACTGGATGTCTTTTAGAATTTCTGAATGACAGTGGTTGCTCAGAATTTGGGCATAGGAATCATAGAATTGCATGCAACTTCTTAAATTTCTGACTTTCTTCAATCCTTGTCTGTCTGTCCAAAGGGTATTCTTTCATAAAAAGGTCTAAATGACGAGGTCAAGCATGTTGGCATCTATAATTTTCATGATTACATAGTGTGCCCTCCTTAACAGTTTTTAGCCATCTTTTTCTTTCTTTTTGGTAGTCAGATTTAATACAAATTAATAAGGCAAAGTGAATAATTGTTGAAGCATTTTTGTCACAACAATTTTGCTAGGTAGCCCAGGCTCCTTTGAATTTGAACTCACAGTCCTCCATCTTGCCTCCTGAGTACTGGAGTCACAGGTCTCTCAAAACCTACCTACTTTCCTTTCTTCCTTCCTTCATTTATTTATTCATTTACTTCTTTTACCCCCCCCCCTTTTTTTTTTGAACTAACGATCAAATCTAGGACCTTGAGCATGCCAGGCAAGTGTTCTCCCATTCAGCTATATATCTGGCCTTCAGAGAATTTTTTAAGAGTTCCCTTTTCTTGGCTAGTAGAATGGCATTAGTGAGAATCCATCAAATATTTTCTCTCTCCATGTATATGTGTGTTTAATTTTATGTGTAGGCTGAAGAGGTGGCTCAAGTGATTAAGACAGCTTCTTCAGGCACCCCACTCAATTGTACATACAGACACACATACATACACATAATAAAAAAAGTTTTTATGTATTTGAGTGTTTTGCAGGTATGTATGTGCACCACTTGTGTGCAGTGCCCTCAGAAGACAAAAGAGAGCATCAGATCCCCTAGAACTGGCGTTACAGATGGTTGATAGCCACTATGTGGGTACTGAGAACCAAACCTGGGTCCTCTGTAAGAGCAGTAAGTGCTTTTAACTACTGAGCCATCTCTCTAGTTACCACCCCGCATCAAATGTTGAGGAATGATGTTATTTTTCCATATTAAAAAGGAATATTAGAGCCAGACGTGGTGGCGCACGCCTTTAATCCCAGCACTTGGGAGGCGGAGGCAGGCGGATCTCTGTGAGTTCAAGGCCACAGAGATGGATGTAGTCTACATAGTGAGTTCCAGGACAGCTGGGGCTACAGGAAGACCCTGTCTCAAAAAGACCAAAAAAAAAAAAAAAAAAAAAAAAAAAAAAAAAAAAAAAAAAAGATGAAAAAAAAAAAAAAAAAAAAAAAAAAAAAAAAAAAAAAGGAATATTAGAATGAATAGTAGCATTAGAAATAGAATGTCTTATTAGAATCCATGAGACAATTCTAGAGCATAAAATTTGAGCATAAATTGATAAGTAGAGTAAGCGTCTTCTAAGTGGCAGGCTTTGTTTTTAACTTTGCAATTCGTGTCAGAGACTAAACTTGTTCAGAGATCATTTAACTAGCTTTTACTAAAATAGGTAATCATTTTATTTTTTAAAGACTACATCTGGCCGGGCGTGCTAGCGCAGGGCAGGCCTTTAATCCCAGCACTTGGGATGCTGAGGCAGGTGAATCTCTGAGTTCTAGGCCAGCTGGAGCTGTAGGGAGACCCTGTCTTAAAAAGATTTAAAAAATGGGCTGGAGAGATGGCTCAGCAGTTAAGAACACTGGTTGTTCTTGCAGAAGACCCGGGTTCGATTCCCAGCACCCACATGGCCACTAACAACTGTCTGTAACTCTAGTCCCTGGGGATCTGACAGTCTCTTCTGACTTCCGCGGGCATTGCACGATATGGGTACACTTACCTACATGCAGGCAATACACACATACACATAAAATAAAAATAAATAAAAATTTTAAAAAATAAAAAAACTAAAACTACATCTTGTTTTTCATTAATTCATGCTATTTCAAAAGTAAAGATTGACTCACTTTTTTTTTTAGCTGAATAATTTGTACATTTGGGATTTCCTTAGTTCAAGATCCTAGTACTTAGTAAGTAAAGGTAAGAAGATAGGGGCTTCAAGGACAACTTCAGCTACATAGAGAGTTCAGGCATCATGAGACTGTCTCAAAAAACAAAGCCAAGTGTGGTGGCAGCCCATGCTTATAACCCCATCTTTTGGAAGGTCACCACAAGTTACAGGCCAGTCTAGGCTACAGAGTAAAACCTTATCCCTGAAAAGGAAAAAAATAAGTGTGTAGGTATGAAGCTAAGTGTATACCTAAAAGTTGAGTAAGTTACCTTCCTGTTTTGAGACAAGGTTTTACTTTGTAGCTAAGGCTGGCCTAGAACTCATTGTATAGCCCACCCTCTTACCAAACCTCCTGATCCTTTTGCTTCAGCCTTGGGTCACGACTATATATTGCTATGCCTGGCTCCTTTTACTTTTTGTTCGGTTTGTTTTGGTTTTGCCATAATGGGATTTGAACCCAGGGCCTTACACATGGTAGGCAAGTGCTCTGCCATTGAGTTATATGCGTGGCCCTTTTTCACATTTTATTTTGAGACAGGGCCTCATCAATTTGTCTTGTCTGACCTTGAATTCACACTGTAGCTCCAGCAGGCCTTGATCTCCTGCCTCAGCCTTTAAAGTAGCTGGGACTCAGGCCTGTGCCACCAGCTTCTTCTTATTTCTTAGTAGCCCTAAAATGGATACACCCGATTTTAATATTTTTTAAAGCAGCTCCTGT